ATCACTTCTTTAGTTCTGAAAAACTCTTTTCGCAGTCATTGTTCCAATCAAACTTGACGTTTTTCCTTGTGAGCCGAGTCAAAGGAGTAGCTCGACTAGAAAATCATTCCATAAACTTGCAGTAATAACTTGTCATCACAGAAAGCTACAAATTTTCTTGATCGATGTTAATTTTTCCCAACCGAGCACTATCTCAACTTTTTTGGGGTTCACTGACACTCCATCCCTTGATATAATGTGCCCTAAGAAAGTAGTCTGTTCGAACTAGAACCCACACTTACTTAACTTTACATACAACTTCATTTCTCTGAGAACCTGCCAAACCTGAGTCAGATGGTGAGCGTGTTCCTCTATGTTTTTTGAATAGATCAGGATATCATCGATAAATATAATGACAAACTAATCCAAGAATTATCTGAAAAGCCTATTCATCAAATTTATAAAGATGTCTGGTGTGTTGGTTAGTCCAAATGGCATGACTAAGAATTCATAGTGTCTGTACCGAGTCTGAAAAGTTGTTTTGGGAATGTCTTCTATCTTGATCTTTACCTAATGGTAACCTGAACGCAAGTTTATTTTGGAGAAGAATTGGGCACCCTACAACTGATTAAAAAGGTCATCGATCCTGGGGAGGGGGTACTTGTTCTTGATTGTGACCCTGTTCAATCCTTTGTAGTCAATACATAACCTTAACATCCATCCTCCTTCCTTACAAATACGACTCTGGTGCCCCAAGGGGACACACGGTGTCGGATAAACCCATTGTCCTGCAATTTTTTGATATATTTTCTCAACTCTTTCATTTCTATATGACTCATTCGATAAGGAAAAACTGAGATAGGCTACGTGCCAGACTGAAGGTTTATGGTGAACTCAACTTCTCTATCCACTAGTGGTCTGAAAAGTTCATCAGGAAACATATCTGGAAAGTCTCAAACTATCAAGATCTCTTGAATACAAATTTCTTTTCTAAGCTTGTATATTGTAGAGAAAACAACTGAGATAAAGCATTATGTACTAAGAAATTTGTTAAGGGAGAACAATATTCGAAACTTTTATTAGCTTATAAATGACTCTTCATTAGGAGGCTTAAATTCAATGTTTTTCGTGGAAACAATCCACAGTGGCATGATACATCGCTAATCAGTTCATCATTGGAAATACATCAGGGTCATCTGTGTCAATCTCTATAAGGTCCATCATGAGTGAAACCGAATCCCATGGAAGAGGGGCCAGATGTTGCTGGGAAGGGACCGGGTGGTCCTGTAACAGTGCCGGATGATACGGTGGGGGCTCCGAATTGTATTGTGACGGTGTCGGATGATACGATGGTGGAGTAGGGTTGCATTGAGGTGGCGTTAGATCCTCTCATTATAGAGGTGGCTCATAGTGTGAAAGTGGTAGAGGGTCAGACAGTTCCCTCCTCTCTTCCCTAGCCTACTACGTAGAGATGAGTCTCTCTAAAATCTCGAAGAGCCAATTGACATCCTCTCGAAACGACCCATCTCGGGCTACTCTATTCAGCAAGGGACCTCATCTACTCGTTTTTTTATAGTTATTTTTCAAAAGGAAGGGTTGGGTGATAATTCGTATTTGGTGTTTTTAAGTCTTTGTATAAAGAATAGTTCCGAGGAATGCGGCTTTGATACCAACTGTAATGGCCCGGGTACTTAAAAAGAAATAACTTATGAATTAAATGCAGGAGTGAAATAATAAAGTTAGGGTTTACATTCCTTACACAATAATTTAGAATACCCAATAGGGCTACGAGAATGACAATTCTAAAAGAACAAATGAAAAACAAAAAAATAAATGGAAAGTAAACAACTGAGCATCCTATTTGCAACCTTCTTGTGGATCGGGATATGGGTCTTGGTCCTTTTGATATGAAATAGTTAATGAAAAGAGTGAGCTAAGAATGTCATACTACTCATAGATACAGAAATGAAGGTTGGTAAAAATCATAAAAACAACTAATGGAGCTCTTAATTTAAGTAAATTCATTTGTCATAAATAAAATCATTTATTATATACTTACCGTAACGAAATTTTTAAAACTGATCTATAGAGGTAATAACATAAACAACATCATAATCTCATATTCAATTAACCAGAACAACAACTTTCCTTTTTTATCTGCCTACTTGTATCCATGGGGGTCCACAGAAATGTCCCCACTACGTGTGAACCCTTATTCAATATTGTCAACTAAGTGGCCCTCTCCTCCGGTATGAACACCAAAAATATCATCCCTCAATATCCCGTCTGGTATGAGGGTGAAACGAGCTGTCCCCATAACCCGTCTGGTATGAGCACCAAAATACCAACCCTCGATACTCCGTCCGATATGAGACAATGTTCACGGTAGAGTTTCCTATGTAGTCCGTCCGTCCACCATCTTCCAGGATATCCAGTATAGCTACCATTCAATCATTCACTAAATCAAACAATTCTCCTTTTATATTTAATTTTCAGTTTCATAATTTAACTGTAAATCATGCAGAACAAACAATACATGTATCAAGGAAACACCATTGAATTATCATACCAACTCTAGTGTAATATTATGCATTTGAAATAGTAAAATCAATCAAATAAGATCAATAGTGAATAATTATTAGCTCCGACTCCATTAGTAACCTGTGATTAATTATCGAGATTTTTTAAATTATACAAAATACCACATTATTTATAATTAAACTTCAATTCCATAACAAAGAATACGGTGAGGGATTCTTACTCGAATCGATGTCTGAAACGCTAAACTTTCAGCTGCACCTACTAGCGGTCCCCGAGTTCTTTAATTTTTTTTGGAGATTAAAACACGCTTCAAGTACCTAGAAATATCCTAAAAAAATTCAAAATCGGTGTTAGAAATCATTTCTGGCTAATTTTAGAATTCCGGCACAGTGGCACCACCATGCTCTTACGACAGCATCGCCGCTGCAAACGACAGTTTGCCTTGGGCTGGCCGTTTTCGGCCAGTTTAGGCTGATTTTGACCGATTTTATACTTATCCCTTTTAGAAAACATATTAAGGGGCCTCGGTTGGCCAAAAAAAGTTAAAAAATAGAAGCTTGCCGGTGATGGAGTTTTTCAGTGTGGCGGTTCCGCCAGCTCATCTTCGTAGTTGGGCGTTTTTCTTCAGTTAACATGTGGATAATAAAATGGAGGAAAATTACTCAAAATGGGAATCGAGAAGGGTCTCATCGGAAGCAGTTTTTATTTTTCCGCAGCAGCTACAAGGTTTTACCCGCGGTTTTCGCCTCATCTGCAGGTCTTTTCGCTCCGATTTGGCCATGAGGGTGTTCAAAATCAAATTTCAAGCGACTGAGAGAATTTCTATCTTCTTGGCGGTCGGAGGTTGCTCCGGCGCGGCAGCGGGAGACAATCGACTCCCTTCCCGACGACTTATTTTTCTTCTCGCGGGGGGGTGGGGGGGGGGGAGGGGGTGAGTAGGTGGCTAGGGTTAGGGTTTGGTGTGTAGTTAGGTATTTATATCTGTCTCCTCTTAATCTGGATAGTTTTATCGCGTTTAAATAGGAAATGAATCTGAACCGTTCATCATGATGTGATATGGACCATACAATCGCCTTTAAAGAGGAAATGAATTCGATCTGTTCATCGCATGTAATCGTGACTGTCCGATTGCGCCTGAGGAGGAAACAGATCCAGATCGTCTACACGAACGGGAACAAGTCCGGACGTCCGATCGCGGGCACACGGATTGCCAGTGTGGCCTCCCGCGTGACACTGCATCAGCGTGCCTTGTCACGCGACGTGCTCTGGTTCGTCAGGACTACTAACTAAGCAGTCCTACGTGACACATTTTTCTTAAATTGCATTTTGGCCCTTAGTTTTCGATTTTTCTTTCAAAAACACCAACAGAACCCAAAATTTCACCTATTTTTTCCAAAATTATTTTCAATTTCATCATCTATGTATTTTTCTTAATTTTTACATTAAATAAAAATTTTTAAATTTAAAAATTATATTTTATACATTAATTTTAAATATTTTAAAATTAATTATGGGTATTACAATCAAATATTACAAGTAGATTTTAAAATAATTTTGAAGATTTATTCTCTAAAATTCTTGGTATGATCATTCAAGAAGAATTGAATTAGTGTAGGAAAGTATTAATTATTTTCTCCATTATTGGTGATATCAAGTATGAATTATTTGAGAATATCCTGTATTTGATTTTTTGATAGTAGTTTTGATTCAAAATTTAATTCGTGATTTTTTTCTCTACACTGAAGTGATTTTCATGTAAATTATGTGCCTTTTTATTTTTTAGTTATTTTTTTTTATTTACATCGGTATTGATTTATAGGTTGAATTACTTAAAAATATTAATTGAATTTTTGAGATTAATTTTTTGATTGACGTAATTTGCACGTATAAAATCAGAATATTTAGAAGTCCCAAAAACAAAAGACGGAGGGAATTAAAAAGCTATTTTATGAAAAATACTTTTTAAAAAGCATCTTTAAAAAAATAATTTTATCCTTTCATTTATGAGTCCAAGGGTTCATGTGTAGCTGAAATCTCAATATTTTCATCTTAACCAAGAGATGTTTCTAAAACTAAACGTCGTTAGGCTCTATCCAATTCTATGTTTTAGTTTTTAGTTTTTAACTTTTTATGTACATGCACTGTTTTTGAAGTACATAAGATGCTATATTTATTGAAACTGTTAATATAAATAAAATGGGCTGCTTCAAAGAGCTTCAGAGGTGTTTGGGATTTTGCTTCTGTTGCCAAGGAACCCAATGGGCTGTGCACACATTTTCTCTTAGTTCAATTTTTTTACTTCATTAAAAAAAGTGAAGGAAAATAAACATTATTGTTAATTTCTTTTTTCCTTTAAAGCTTTTTCCTCATTTTCATTATTTTCTGAATATCATATTATGTTTTTAACTACTTAATATGTTTTTTATGCCTAAAGATAAATAAAATTAAGAAATGAAATTTAAAAATATTTTCACGTTGTATATAACGAACAGAATCTTCTTGAATAATATTTGCCCGCCCATGAGCGAAGTTTGCACTTTGCATTTGTAAAAGAAGAAGAAAGATTTTAAAACTAAATAGTCTTTTTGTCAGCGATCCCGACAAGGATCAGTAACCACACAAAAGGTGGATAAATACTCCTAAAATGCTGGGGAGTCATTTTTTACAATATAGATCAACAGTACAACATATAGTTCACAAATATGTGTCTTATATACTCGCACCAACTGCACCCGAAACACATTCTCTGACTGCAAGCAACCAAACCAGATCCTTTATGTGCAGCCTTTGTTTTTTGGGGAAAAAAATGTTAAAGCCGCATGTACAAGAAGATAGGGTGCAATCGCTCCAAAAATGAGTTTTATCACATCCAAGCTCCCCATCCAGGAAACATTTGACATAAACGCTCCGGATCAATTGCATCTTGTATGAGTTGCTGAACCTACAAATAGCAGAAAACGAAGTCAGTAACCGAATATCAAATGATGACTTCCAACTGTCAATTCAACTATATCTGTAAATCAATCCTTGTGATGCAAAAAGAATCAACAAGCTAGAGAAATTTCAAAATGCCAATTTGATGCTTTTCCACAGTAAGAATTATTACGTCTATTATATGGTATATCCAGATTGAAAATCCTGAACCAAAAACCAGATATGAAATTGATAGCAAAGAAAACAGCAGCCAGATTCAAGGTAGTTTGCTTCTTACCTTGCTGGAAAACACAAAAGCAATTGAATTTACCAGTGTTTCCATGTAATATTATCTAATTCTTGATTTACTTGTGCGAAGCGTTTCACTATTTTACTTAATAATTGTCTACTTAAATTACTACCTGTGCTGTCATGAATCCTTGTTTACCAAAGAGAATCACAAAGTCGGTGTGATGTGTGGAAATTTGAGAGAGAGAATTTAAGGAATTGAGAGAGGCAAAACAACAGAGATAGATCGCAGAAAGAAGAATCAGATTTCAAAGAGAGATTTAACAGAGGGAGGAAAAAAGAATCAGATCTGAAAGAGACAGATTTAACAGAGGGAGGAAAGAATCAGAGAATGATATAGCAGAAACAATTCTGATTTATTCCTTAATGTCACTACAAGATGCTTCTCTCTCTTTACAGCCCTAGCCCCTAATTTATATCCCATAAGCTAGACCTGACTTTCTCTTTCTCTTTCAAATGAATTGATTTGCCAGTTTATGAGCTTACTAAGTCGGAAGGCAACGCTATATCTCTTGCTATGGCTTTTAGCTCATTTTTGGGATATCTGTTCAGCACATTAACAATGAAGTACCTTACCAAATGGGTAGAACTTCATGATGGATTCTGTCTAACCTTATTAAATTGAAGGAAAAAGTGCAGTTCAAACACTTTGCTTTGAATCATAAACAGATATTCTAAAGATTCGGCTTTCCTGATCTTATATCTTTCTTGCAGGCATGGAAATCAAACTGGAATGAAACCTTCCTTCTGATTCTGAGATGCCAAGAACATACTAACTTTCTGACTATTTCCTACATATAAATACTCCCTCCTAAAGGTCACATTGTCTTCAAGGTGGACAATGAATCTAACGATCTTATTAGTCAAAGTAGAAGCTGTTATCCTAACAAACCATCTGTTCTTTAGTTATGCTCCCTTAGAACCTAGATCTGTATAGTTGCAAGATGATTTATTTGGGTAAAGTCTGTTATATAACCAGACCTCTTTAGAAGGATTCCGACCAAGTTCTACAGAAAATTTTTGGTTCCATCAATCCTGGATTTCTTGAGCCTTTCCAGGATTTGTAGTCAGATTTTTTCTGTAAACATGTCTGAAAAATCTTGTTGGTGGGAGAAAACTTCTCCAATTTAAGATCTTAGTAGTTAAGGTTTGATTCAACATGCATTTTGAGCACCCTTTTCGCACTGACAGCCTCTTGCACAGTCCCAACCATCTTTATCATCGTTGGTGCCATGCTTGTGGCAGCCACTTCCTCTACAAGTGCTGCTATATTTTTCAATGATACACTTGATCTGGACAGATTTTCTTCAGAATCTTCATTTTCTTCACTTAAGTTGGCACCAGAATTCTCCCAATCTTGATCTATAGAATTCTTATCCAAATCTATCTCACACATAGGACCACTGTGTGTGAGATTGATAAAGATATGCTTGATTTCACCCAGTTTGTTCTTCACTCCACTCAACTCTTGCTTCATTTCATCCATCTCTTGATTCATTCCTTTTTTTCCCCAAATCTTAAAATTGTTTAGCCACTCATTCCATTTTCTGTTTTTCTTGTGAAAGAGTGTTTTCAGAAATTCTCATCTTGCCTGGATGTCGGCTCTGGTACTAGTGATGTGTGGTAATTAGAGAGATAGAATTACAGAAGACCGAGAGAGACAGAACATCAGAGAGGGATCAAAGAGAGAAGAAGATAAGAAAGAGATACATTTAATAGAGAGAAGGAAAAGAGAGAGTTAAGAGCAAAAACAATTCTTATTTTATTCCTTCATGCCATAACAAGATGCTTCCTTTCTCTTTTATAGCCATAGCCCCTAATTAATATACTAACTACCCAACTGACTGTTTCTACACAAATCTGGAAGTCCATACAATGCAATTAAGAAAGCAATTATCCATCTCCATAAAATTTCATGCACCACCCAGTCTTAATTTAACATTTTCTAAAAGTATTACTTAATTATATTGATATTTTCCGTGTTAATTTACAAGTATTCTAGTCATTGCTTCTATATATACACTATTTTTTTTTTTGAAATAATTCTATAAATACACTCTTATTCTAAACATCTTTTACTCAACTCAAGAAATGCCAAAGGATAAATAGGATAAAGAGAATAACTTGCTCCTATTTTAGCCTACTCTGTTCAACTACCTTAAGTTACTCAGAGTACAAAGTTGAGCCACTAAGGTTAAAAATAATAATTAATCATTCATACTCCATGTACGAGTAGCGAGACAACAATACTGGAAATATACCTGGCCATGGACACTTCTCATTTCTCCTTCTTCATATCCGTCTAGTTTTTGTTTGACACGCATCAAGGCACGTGCAGCATCCTTATTTCCCTCACTTTCTTCTTGTAAACTTTCAAGGCTTGTCTCCAGATCATCATTGCTATCCTATCAAGAACCAAATCAAGGAAAAACTACAACTGAAAATAATATATCAAGTTGAAGGTGGTGTGACATAGAGAAAAAGAGAAAAAAAGGCCTACAGTTACAGGTATAAAACAAGATCCACAGTTACAGGTATTGAACACAAGAACAATCACAGTGTTGGCAGATGATCATGAGAAAATATGGAAAGACTAAGCTGAATAAGAATGGAAACTTACCAGTCTTTTTAGGTATTTAGGTACCCTATTATGACTATAATTAAGAAACAAAGTAGGAAATAGACCTAATTGGTTATAATAGTAGTCAGAGAATAAAAAAGCACTTATTCCTCCAAGAATACACCTTTGTTTAATTAGTTGCTCACTATCTCAAAGAAAGAAGTATTTATCAAAACTGCTTTATGTCTGAATAAGAAGAACTTGAGAATTTGCAATACCTTTTGCCGCTGCAAGGCCTTCAAAGGGGATAGAGCCCATTTATAAAGGGGATCATGGATAAAAACCTGCAGGAAATAACATTTATATTCAAGAAACTGAAAAATTTGGGAATTCTACCTATTACTCGAACCTATTAAGCCAGAAATTTCTTTGTTTGCAAAGCCAGTAATCTTACTTCAACAATGGTCAGAAGAGCTTCTTTATTTGTCCGCATAACAGAGAGAGTTTCTTCACAACATCTTCTGAAGACACCATCAACTCCAGTCACACCCATGCCATCAATTATATCTCTTGTCAGTCTGAATGGAACCTGTAAAAATTAATCAGAAAAAAGCATGAGCTGTGAGGACCCTATTGATAGTTTTGTAAAGCAAAACTAGCAATACTATATAGATGGGATAAGCAAAAGTCAAGCAAACAAACTCGCTCTGGTGTCTTCAACATCAAGCCTTGTTCGAAGGCCACACCAAGATCTATGTGAACAACTTCTGCAGTGGCTTGATCGATTAAGATATTCATGGCATGACGATCTCCAAGACCAACAATATAACCCACCTAATTTTGGAAACCAAACATTATGTCAACAATTGCAAGAGGAGCCTCATTTTCTTCAATTATATTTTATGAAAGGTCATTTTCCAGTGACAGTCTCAGGGAAGCAGGCCCATGAGATATGATCCAATTCAATGGAGCTGCCACAAAATCCGTCATCCATGAAGCAACAGATATTATATGCTCTTTCCTGATTATCACTTATATTCATATTATGCAAAATGATGCAGCCAACATAAGCCATGATCATCTATGCAGAAGGATGCAGTGTCAACTAAAATTTATACTATCTAAGCCCTTGACTTTCAAAGGATTGTCAACTAAAATTTATACTATATAAACCCTTGACTTTCAAAGAATGTCTTCCCAAACTGACATGCAAATCAAGCTTAACAAGTAATCAGTTTCGCATCTCTTCTAACTGTTGCGGTAGATGCAAAGTTTTAGTCAATAGAATGATATAGAAAAAATGGTTGGGCAGCCATCCAAGAAATAAACATGGATGTTTAGAGTGAGAGAAATTGAAAGAAACCATGCTTCATTTCCAATATATAAGAGATCATGATCAAAGCATAGCAGGAAGAGGGAACTACCATTGAACTTGCTGCCACGCTACGTGTGTAAGCAAGTCTCTTCTCAAACCAATCAGCTGGTTGTAAGAACCTCTCTAAAAAGAAGTGATGCATGACAGGCCTGTACAAAGTTTCAATTTTGTTAAGAGTGCAAATAAGTTGCAAAAATTGTCTGAAACAAGGTCTTTTTGATACCATAACAGTTACAAACCTAAAGTTCTCACAAACTTCCTGGAAAATTTTGCGCTTATCCTTTCCCTACAACACATGGAATATCATATCAGGACTCTTTCTAAGCAGAATGGTGATGATACTGCTCGTTTCTGAAAGAAACAGCATCTATAAGGTTATGATGATGATGATATGGTCTTCAAAAGGTGAACCTACTTACATTTTCCATGTGCTCTCGACATTTGGGAAATGGCCAGTCTCCTGTCCCATAGCGACGGTGGGCACCTCCATTCCTCATGCTGAGAATTGAAGATATGATACAAGAATGCCATTTAACCCTCTTCCCAGATACTGGTAATGCTTTTAAGCTTTATTCATCATAATTTAACTGACCTTCCAATTAGGTATTCTCCAAGCGGGAGAGTGCCATCGACCCATTCCAGAACACCAGCACTTGGAGTAAAAGGAACAACCTATTTCATTAATAACAATTTATTTCAACTTTTAGAAAATAAGATATACTTCTGCAGAAATATTGTGCAGTTGAAATATGGAATAAATTGTAAACAAATATGAATTAATATTCATAAGTGATTGTATATACAGCAGAAGTGAGTTATTTATAATGTTATAAGTTATTAGTATGTAGAGTTCTAATTTTATAAAACATTACAATGTAGACTCCTAATAATACAACATTTATAATGTTAGTAATACACCCAAACTATAACATACATTAAATTTTATCCTCTTATCCCCGCTCAAGATGTGCGGCGTAACACACAAATATTAGCTTGCAATTGATTGAACCTTGCTGAAGAAAGTGTGTTGGTGAAAATGTCAGCTAATTGATCATAACTGACTATCTATCGTACGACTTATTGTCCTGTTTGCACTTTTTCTCAAACAAAATGAATATTCAATTCAATGTGCTTAGAACAAGCATGATTTACCGGATTAGAAGTCATTAGTATGTACATTTCTAATTTTATAAAACATTAGGTTTTAGATTCCTAAAGATAAAATCATTATAATGTTACTAATACACCCAAACTATAATACACATTAAATTTTATCCTTTAGGTTATACTTCAAACTGAAGTCCTAGAAGGTTTAGCAATAGTGATAAAAACAGAAATATTGTCAATACAGACAATGCAGGGATATATTTGTAAAAGTCCTAAGAAAGGAAAGCAAGGATTCTCTCCAGTGTGCTTATTGCAAGAAATCAAAGCATACTAAAGAGAAATACTGGAAACTCAATGGTAAGACACCAAAGAGAGAATGGGGCCACCGTGAGGACGACAGAAAAATCAAGACCAAGCCAACTTCACCATAGATAAGCAAAATCAAGAAAAATCATAAACTAGATAGAGTTTAAGGAGGCTTCTGGAATAACTGAAGAAGTTAGTGGTGCATGCTCTCTTGTACTCTCTGTAAATTTTTATATTTCTTAAGTATCATTGTCTTAGATGGACCTATTAAGAAACTACAGATTATTGACTTAGGAACCATATAGTATGTGACCCATCACAAATTTTAGCACTTATACCCCCGCTTAGACAATTGAAAGATAATTGTTGTAGACAGTTCCTCATTACTTTAGTTGGTCTTGGAGATATTCATATCAGTCCCTCTTTAATGTATAAAATATTTTCAACGTCCCAAATTATCCATCTACCTCATATCCATACAAAAACTTACTCATGATATAAATTGTAACGTGTTTATCTATCATTCTTATGACATATTTTAGGACCAGGATTCAGGAAAGAGAATTAAACGAACAAGGGTAGAATCAGGCAAATCAAATTTAGTTAAGAATAAATAATCCCTGTTATTTTTCTTATTAACCAATACAAATACTATTTGGCTTCATCCTTTTACCCTTGGCCACCCATCTATTTGGAATTTTAGAAACCATGTTTTCTTCTTTGTTTAAAGGACTAAGTCTTCACCATTTTTATTGTGAGTTATGTGAATTTGCAAAATACAAAAGTTTATCCTTTCCAATCAGTAACCAGAGAAGCTCAGTCCCATCTTACTTGTCTTTTATTATTCAAGCTCGTGGACCACAATTGTAACATTACTTTTTTCTAAGGAAATCGGTGGGTGGGGGCTTAAGTCCTGTAAACCAGTGGGTTGGTGGTGTCCCTCTTGCTTTCAATTCTTTTGCCTTTATAGACTCTCTAGTAAACATAATTATCACATTGTGATAGTCATAGATCATCAAATTTATCAATAAGCAGTAAAGTTGGTATTTATTTTTACTTTTGTTGGAATCTACTATACCCTTGATTCTTCAAGAGCTTCTATATGTGGATCTTCTACAGAGTTTCTAATACATAGCCCTTGCAGGATGTAATTTTGTTTTTTTAAAAATGACACCTGCGCTTCTGTATCAGGTACAACCTCCTTTGCACCTTGCAAATTACTACTAAATGTTTTTCTTATAAAGAAAGGTTTTCAGAAAAAATGCAGTGAAATATTTTTAGACTTAAGGAAGAAGTTACCTTATAGGTACGAACAGCTAATCTTCTTTTCCACGTATCCCGATGATTCTGCAAAAATGTGTTAACTAGACCAAAAAATTGTTCCATGACCTGCAAATCGTTTACTGTATTAATAATGTACTTAATGCATTCACGAGTCTTACATGTCTTTGAACAAACAGTACTTCCATTTCCATAACATTTTTGAAAGGCAAACCAACAGAATGTCTACCAAGAAAGACACCATAGATAGTTTCCAATAAAATTATAAGTTGCTTCAATACAGCCATATAAAGTGCAGAAATGTCTATCATTTAAGCGAGCTAAATAGTAGCTATCCTCATTGTAAAGTTCACCAAAATCAATAATAACGGTTGCACAGCAAGTAGAGGAAGCTTAAGATATGGGTGACAATAAATAACCAATATCTGATCTAGGGAGGTTTGTTACCCTCAATATGCTGGTAATGCATTTTTTACCGTATAATGTTGACAGCAACAACAGATTGCTTATTAAACAGAGAAAGAAAAGAAGAAGAAAAGAAAAGAGGTCTAGTTAATGGCTCTGGAGCCAAAAGAGGTCTTATACAACTCTCCAATAAGAATTATAGATTACCCATAACCCCTGGCTCTGGAACCAAATTTACATGGTCCCTTGATCTGGATCTGTTATGGCCTAGTTAACGGAAAATAAGAAAAGAGGATTGTAGAATTCCACTGCAGGTTTCTTCCTTTATGACTTATTTGGGGTAAGAATAATTTAGGCTCGTTAAGGGGGAACCTAACAATCTTTTGAGAAAAAGTATTTAAACCTAATCTAAAAAAAAAAAAAAAAAAACAGAAAATAAGAAAAGAAGGTTGTAGGATTCCTCTGCAATTTCCTTCCTCTATGACATTTGGGGTAAGAATGATTTAGGCTTGTTAAGGGGAACCTAACAATCTTGAGAAAGAATTACTTAACCCTAATTTGAAAATGCATAAATAATTTATTCTTCCAATTGAATAGCGTTATAAGGCAGTAAAAAGAAAACAATCAACTGCTACTCTTGCGTAACTGTTTTTCCTGAATAAGAGCAGTTGTTCGATTGAGATAAATGCAAACACTCAATTTGCAGAGACAACATCCAACATTCAACTCCCTATAACTGTTTTGTTGACTTAGACCACATAACTATCTTAAATAAAAAATAAAAAACAATAACAACATTCTAAACAAAACAAAAATAACATAACAAGTGGTCATAAATATTAAATTACTTATTCTTCTTCTTGTTCTTCACATGAGTGAAGCATTTGCAAACTTTGCCACTGATGCATCATTCTGGTTACATTTCAAAAAGTATAGGTCTTATAACGATGGAATTAAAATGTAGGTTCTAATTTAAGATACTAAAAATGTATAAAGTACTTCCACGTAACTTACCCTAAATTGATTGTTGTATTTTCTTTCAGAAAATTTAGGAAGGGCTAGAGAAAATGTGTAAAATTACCAAAGAATAAATAAATTAAAATCTAAATTGTTTTCTTTAATTCAAATAATAATGATACAAACAATTTATGGTTTATAGTGGAATAACTTGCAATATAAAATTAATAAAAAAGTAAGTAAATAAAATAAAAATAAATATGATTGTGACCTAGAATATTGTTGGACCGGCCAAATAAAAATCAGGTTGCATGATTGACCAGCTACTGGTCGTGTGACCAGATGTGGCTGAGCAAGCATGTAATCATCTGATGCTTGGTCATGCACCAATGGTCGGGGCCAGTTGGGCGGTATTGTTAAAGCTTTAATATTTAATGAAGGCAATTTATCTGCGTAAATATTTGGCTTAAGTTAAAATTCAGTGTCTTTTTACTCTCACTTCAGCAAGTACTTAATTAAGCAAAAAATCAATAGACAAGCAATTAAAATTGTACTATTCAATATGAAGATGATAAGATAAAAAGCAGAATTCTTTACAGCATCTTGTCTTAGGTCATCATTTCCAGATTTTGCTAGCTGTTTATATTTGTGACCATCAGAACCAAGGCATTCAACCACCTTTGGAGCATTTATACCATTCATTATCCTGCATGTTCAAAGCTTCTACTGTTATGCTTAAGAAACATAACTCTGAAGCTAATTTAAATGTTTTATATGGCTAAGACATACACAACTGAATCTGATAATCCTTTGAAATATGGGAATGAGCCTTCATGATATTGACAGCTAGGATCAACTGGAAAGGTAGCTGTTATCACGGGAACCTAATGATGAAACATGTGGCATAAGAGAAAGAACAAGGAAATAGAACCAATGTCTGAAGACTGTTAATTAATTAAATAAATCTCCAGAACGTAGTCAATCGTCTTTCAGACTGCATCTCTGACATATGGTTCATCATTGTTTCTGAACACAATCAACAGATGAATTAAGATGATGAACTTACCAGTTCTAGCTCTCGAAGACTTCTAATTTCTCTCGGTAGCGTTATCCTTTTATTGGTGTCCTGCTGACAGAGTGCAGTTTGAGTCTAATGATGACAATGGCAGCACAAACTCAGAACATGGAAACTATTTGACAAACCTCTCTCCTTGTTTCAAGCTCTGCAAGCTTTATATAGATCTCCACCAACTGTTTTGTCTGATGGGTGTAACAAACAAGGAAAACATGTGGGTGAATTTTTTTTTTTTAAATAAACATGTGGGTAAGAAATTAATTCAAGGATAGATTCTAGAAATTTGACACATGAAACCAAATAACACAGGAAGTTACTTGTGTAATAATAGGTCCATGATATGCCAATAATTCCTCCAAGAGTTTCTCTGCTGCAAGCTTTTTGTCTATATCTACTATAAATGAATTTCTGCTACGCTGTTTATCCTTGATGCGATCACCATTTGCCAAAGCCAGAAGCTGTTGCCAAAAATATAAATTAACACATGAAATATGATGAAGATTCACAGAAGAACATGTAAAACAAAGATTTATTGGCAAGTATATGAAATGTAAGATCATGATTCCGAAATAACTTGTGGTCTTCTTTTATATGTCTTGCCATGATACTCAAGTTAAAATGATATTATTAGAAATGCCCAGAAAATATCATATTCGTAAAGCAGAAACATAGAGGAACTCTTATGAATGTGGAAAATATACCGGATTAGTCAATTCGAATTGTAATTGATTGTCAATTAATACATAACTGTTTTGTTTAGTCAAAACAAAAATTGAATTTGATTGAATCGTCTAGTTTCATTTGTTTGCTATGGTGCATGTCTCATTTTAAGATTTATTGATTTAATCCTATTTTCATTACACTTATTTTTCGATATAGGTCGAAATAGTATAAATAAATATCGATTTCCCTTATACAAAACAAATCAAACTTTCTCGCTTTCGCCTCCCTTTGTATTTTTCTAAACATATCTTTCTAAATAAAAAAAAAAATACAGTGGGAATTCTAAACTAAAAACTAAAGAGAATTCTCATTTAATTGTAATATGTATTAGTCATTTAATTATAATATGTATTAGAGTATTATAAATTCAAAAATATAAAATAAAAATTTGAAATCTATTCTATTATCTATTTCTTATCTACTAGCGGAGTTACACATAAGCATCTTTCAAATGCTTTTCTTCAAACTGCACAAGAGTAAAGCTCTTATGCATTGGAGTTTGACCTTTCTTGACAGGAGTTTAGCCATAATGCTTAATTTACGTACCTGAAAGATTGTGTGATATGGATGATCAATTGCCATTTTTTTGAGAAGGGAAATCAAAGCAAACTGCAGAGCCACTAATGCAGATTAGGAATAATATTTGACTTCTTCACAAACAATTAACACAGGTGAACAGTCTCACACCTGAAAGCTATGTGGTCCAACACCGTCCTTTGAGCTTCCCATTCTTGAAGCAATTTGGTAAACTAATGGTATGAACTTATATGACTGAACCTGTAGAAAAAAGCTTTCAACAAAAGACTTACTTTTGGCATCAGGTGATGTATATCAGAAATTAACAAAACCTACTCTTTCATTATTACCTCCTCAACTGTACTAAGCATGTTCTTTATGATATTTAGTCTTGATGAGAGTGCGAACCACAGGGACACCAGTCGAAAAACCTAAAGAAACAATTTAGCTATTTGAAGGGCATCATATTGAAGAAAACATGTTAACCATCAGGGAACAATCAATGACATCTTGGTAATATTGGCCATAAAACAGCGGAGTATATATAATGGCTATAAAAAAGAAACAGAAGTATTTACCAACTTCTAGAAGTCAAAGGTAGTTTCACAATTTAACTCATAAGACATAAAAAAACTAAAGATCTATAACTGCTGTAATTAAGCAACTTATCTCCATTCAAAACTATTATGTCTCAACTGTCCGAAGAAAAGCTTCATTGCCCCACAGAGAGGATGCACAACACTTTTTATATTAGTTGCAAACATGACTCAGCTAAAGATGCATACCACTCTTACGTCATATTTGTTGCCAATCACCAAACAACGTTCATATCCCTCTAATGCAAGGTTGAGAAAATTGTCTCTATCATCCTGGAAGTTTAAAAAACTTCAGTTAGTTTTATGGTTAAAAAAATGGCAGACAATGGTAGGACAGCAACATGCAGCAAAAAGTACAAATTGGTTTAGAGAAGTTTGATCCAAGAAGTATGATCCACTGGTTAACACGTGATTGTCGATACGGAATTAGAGTTTAGATAGAGTTATATAAGGATTTTATTGGATAACTACATTTAATAGGAAAATTCATTGTATAGACACATGGGGCAAGCAAAGAAATCTACCAAATTTAATTTGTATGCCCCATTTGATGAACTGACCAATTTTTTCACATTCACAAACTTAAAGAGAAAGGAGTAACTACAAAATCAATAGGAAAACATAAAACCTGCAACTTTTCAGCCTCTTCCTTATCCATTGCAAGTTGTTTTTGCAACTCTTGTATTTTCAATGAGTAGTCAGTTTGGTCTTTCTGCAAATAAAAATAAAATCTCATAAAAAGTGTTAAAAATGATTTGATGTGTATTTTATTAAATATTAGAATTCTATATGTACAAGTTTTCTAGAACAGAAAAAGGAATAAACAATTACAAAGGATATAATTTATCTTCATACACTTTAACATAATTTACTATCTTTTTAATATTCCCTTTCAAGCCCGAGTAGATGTCGTCCATCTCCAACTTGTCAATAAGAGATTGGAATGCTAGATTGCTTGAGTCTTTCGTTAACACAATTGACAATTGAGAATTGGTAGGCATGTATAAGGTACATATTAAGTAGCTTTTAAGTTTTTCTTTGATAAAATATCTATCGATCTCGATGTGCTTTGTCCAGCTATATTGCACCAAATTGTTAGCGATGTTTATGGTCAATTCGTTATCACAAAATAGGCACATGAGATTTTTCCACTTGATTCTTAAGTCTTTCAAGATTTTTTTATCCATAGTTCACATACCACTGGTGCCACTACCTGTAATTCTGATTCTGCACTTGATCGAGCAAGTATAATCTATTTTTTACTTTTCCAGATAACTAAATTGTCCCAACAGAAAGTAAAGTAGCATGTACTAGATCTTCTGCATAAAATTTAATTATGCATAACCTGCATCAGTATAGGTTTTTCAAGAACAATTTGTCATTCTTAGTAAATATAATTCTCTCCGATGACCCTTTTAGGTATTGCAGTCTTTTGTAGACTGCTTGTAGGTGCATTTTTTTAGATTATGCATGAATTAGTTTATAATACTTACTGCATAGATGATATCTGGTTTCATGTGAAATAAATATATCAATTTTTCAATTAATTTTTGATATATTTCCTTATTTACTGGTGTATCTTTCTCTACTATTCCTAATTTGTGATTAAGATCAATAGAAGTGCTACCTCACCAATATCTTATAACATATCATAAATGTATTTTTGTTAAGAAATAACAATCCTAAATTTAGAGCAAACAACTTCAATTCCCAAAAAACTACTTTAGGTTGCCTATCTCTTTCGTTTCAAATTCTTTTGTCAAGCGCCTTTTTAGTGTTAGTTGTTCTTTTTCATTATTTCGTGTTACGATAATGTCATCAACGTATATTAGAGCTATAACTCCCCGTGTCTCTCAGTGTTTAATGAATAGAGTGTGCTTTCTTTGAGTTTGCGTACATTCCAAATCTATCATTACCCTTGTGAACTCGCCAAATCATACTCTTGATGATTGTTTGAGTCTATAAGTATCTTCTTTTGTTTATATACCTTATTTGGTTCTACTTCTTTATCAAAGTTTGGTGAGATATCCATGTATATTTTTTATTCTAGATCTCTATGTAGGAATACATTTTTTTGCATTAGATTATTATAGCTTCCAATTAAAGTGAGTATCTAATGACAACTAAATTCGGATAGTCTTCATCTTGGTTACTGATGCAAATGTCTCTTTGTAGTCTATCCATATATCAGTATATAGCCCTTTGCTACTGCTCTCTCTTTATGTCTCTCAATTGTTTCAGCTGCTTTATATTTAATTGTAAAAACTATTTGCATCCCATGAGTTATTTTTCTTTGGGTAAATCCACTATCTTCTAAGCCTACTTCTTTTCAAATGCTTGCATTTCTATACTCATAACATTTTTTTTTTGTAGGATAATGACTCAGATACTATGTTAAGAATATTTAATTATTTAAACTTGTGAGAAAATTTTATGGGTTGATGAGCATTTATCAAATAATATAAACTGTGAGACATAATACATATTAGTGCATTCTTTTGTACCCTAACGAAGTGCAACAAGTATATCCTTATTAAACTATTAGTTTTCAAGAATTTACCTTAATTCCAAGATCAATGTCAGAATCTTGGACCGACTTTAGCTCATTACTCCGTATATTCATTCTTGTATACATCTGAGAAAACCTAAGGTCTGGCATGGTCTATTAAGATGATGGATTTTAAAGGTTTTCTTGTGGTGATGAGTTTTTTGGTGGGTTCTAATAAGTGGTAATAGTTTTGAAGAGTGTGACATAATGAAAATTAATATAAAAATTATAATTTATTTTATTTATTAATTTAAATTTAAATAAAGTTTTTATTTTTAATTAGATTTATCTCATATTTATTTTTTAAATATCATGTAATTAGTGAGAGTTTATTTTTTAAAAGATTTAATTTATGTTTATTTTTTAAATAGTGAGAAATTATTTTTAAGAGATTTGATTTTGATGTAATCCTATTTAGATGCACTTTAACTTATTAATTTTGAATTGAGTGAAATCAATGGAAATTTAAATTTTTTTATTTCTATTAAATTAAACCTACATGTACAAATTTTCTAAAATTGAAAAGAAAATAAATAGTTAATGACAAAAGATATAATTTATTTTTATATCCTTCAACCTAATTTATCATATCTTTAACAAAAAATGCAACATTTTTCCTAAATAATAAAAAAGAAAGTTTTATTCACAAGGCACCAAGTGTTTACAAAAAGAAAAAGCAATTTGAGAGAGATCTACTTCCAATTGCATACTTTGTGACACAAATGATTGGGAAGGAATAAATTCTTTTATTGTTATCACTTACCTTTGTTGAACTTTTTATGCGCCTAATAAGTGCTTCCAACTCCATTTTCTGCACAATCAACAATCATGTTAATATGAAACAATTCTCCCCCCTTTCTCTCTCTAACATTATATACCTTTTGTCTCCTTAAATGCATTGCAGCTTGCCATTCAGTCGAGGAAAGTCTTTCCTCGTAACTCCTAAACAAACCATCTGCATAGTGTGCAAGGTGAAACTGAGTTTGGTTTTGTCTTTCAATGGACTTTTTGGAAGTGGATTTGTCACCCTCAGCCACAGAAACTGCAGGTTTCAGATACTTCTCTAAAATTGTCCGTGAGCTGTATTCGAAAGTCATAAAGAGATGAAACAGAATTAATGT